TAGCTAATTATCATGCAAATTAGGTAATTAACGAGCATGGATTTTTACCAAAACCTAATCAAATCTGCGCATTGGCCCAGAGCCATCTATGCACCAAGTTTCATCAAAAACCGATGTATGGTTCTTGAGATAGCAGTGGAACAGTCAGACACACATACACACATACACACATACACACATACAGACACACTAACTGCAAAGACTCCCATTTTGTGCTTCGCACATGGGAGTCAAAAATTGTTAATTGCGTAAAACAGGGTGTGAATGCAAAATAGCTGTGACAGCTTTCTGCCTTCGAGCAAATCGTATAAGGAACTTGAGAGCCGCTGAGCAAGTGTCGTACTCATTCGACTTTAGCATCGTCGATAATGAAACCAATGTTGCAATATTGTAGCAATCCGTACCTGGGAGAGTGGTTGAAATCATGTTATTTTGGCTTTATAAAATATTTTGTAGCAGCTTGCGAATCTATAACTGGGGCCAGCAATTTTGTAATGTCACGTCGAAAACTGCCAACTTTTTTACCATTTTTCATCACCGCTATTGCATTTCTGTCTGATAAGTTTGATAAGAAAGCAATGTCACGATTTGACCTTTATGATTTAAATACTAGTAGTGATGTCATTCTTAGCCAATCAGTAAAGCAGATGCATAAAGGTCAAAGATGATTGCTAGACTGTAAACAAAAGCATTGTGTGCCATCGCAGCAGAGCGACCCCATTTTTCTTGTTTCTCTATTATGATTAGACATGAATAAAAAGTGTCAAGCTGACAGACTGCGAAATCCGTGGATTAAAAGTGCTAAATCCAAATTGTGTTGGAATAAGTTGTAGGGATTTTGTTCGACGGCTACAGTGACGCCGACTTGGACTTTGAGGGTTTTGAGTTTGACGAAGATGGCAATGAACGTTCAAATAAAGATCTGAGAAGTTTTTTCAAACAGCTTTGAATTTTTATAATTTTTACTGTGTAAATTTGTAAATTATTATTGACCTTGTATGACGGTTGATTCGTAATTTGTCGAGACCGGAAATCATTTTACGCAGTTTAACCCCTGACATTTTAATTCATTTTTAGTTCACGCGTATTGGGCGTGTTTGTCGGCGGGAAATCCTAATTCAAATGATTCCTCACTGTCGATTTTTATTATTTCTGGTTTATTTGTCACATTATAAGCAATACATTATTTTTGTTTTACTTCTAGTGTTGCATATTGTTCATTTATTTCCGTTGCATGTTTTCATTTGCCGTTCTATTCCCTGCCGCAGTTTGATCTGCGTGTTGTTAATTTTTGCCGGGGATCTCCTGGCAAATGCCCACCCCTTCTTTTTGGCAATTTTCCATGTTCAGGACCCTGGGCTTATACCCGGATAAATACGGTATGTGCTTATGTAAATGACAGAGACGTGTCTATAGTAACAAAAAAATATCTGATCTGATATGAACATTTCACAGGAAGTACTACCGGTATGTTATTAAAGTACAGGTAAAATCATAAATACCAAGTAAAATATATCAAAATATATTTATCACCTTGATTCAGTTACTTTTTCATCTTTGATTAGCTCAAACTCCCAGAATTTCACTGTATGATCAGCACTGCCTGTTACAAAACCCCTCTGAAATAAATTAAAAAGTAAGAATGCAAAAAATTTATTTACCACATCACATTATTCTATAATTCATTTTAAGGAGTTGTACATGCAATCATCATCTAAAAACTGTTAATTGGACATTTAATAAATAAACTGTTATTATACAGTAGAATGACTAACCAATTACCACTTACCTTATCAGGACTGAGAGACAGAGACCACACCGCACCATCATGGGCATCCACTGTTTCCAATAAGTCTCCTGATGCGATATCATACAGACATACCTTGCCTGCCTGGAATTATAAGCACAGACAAAAATTTTGTTGATTCAGTATCTTTGTCTTTGCACTCAATGGTAATGATCTAGCAGTAACACCAATGTAAAATGTGATGATTTACCTCTTACCTGTACCCACAATGCAAAACCTATCACCTGGCACAGAATAATTGTAACACCAATGTAAAATGTGATGATTTACCTCTTACCTGTACCCACAATGCAATGTCTATCACCTGGCACAGAATAATTGTGACACCAATGTAAATGTGATGATTTACCTCTTACCTGTACCCACAATGCAAAGCCTATCACCTGGCACAGAATAATTGTGACACCAATGTAAAATGTAATGATTTACCTCTCATCTGTACCCACAATGCAAAGCCTATCACCTGGCACAGAATAATTGTAGCACCAATGTAAAATGTGATGACTTACCTCTTACCTGTACCCACAATGCAATGTCTACACCTGGCACAGAATAATTGTAACACCAATGTAAAATGTAATGATTTACCTCTTACCTGTACCCACAATGCAAAGCCTATCACCTGGCACAGAATAATTGTAACACCAATGTAAAATGTGATGATTTACCTCTTACCTGTACCCACAATGCAATGTCTACACCTGGCACAGAATATTTGTAACACCAATGTAAAATGTAATGATTTACCTCTCACCTGTACCCACAATGCAAAGCCTATCACCTGGCACAGAATAATTGTGACACCAATGTAAAATGTAATGATTTACCTCTTACCTGTACCCACAGTGCAATGTATATCACCTGGCACAGAATAATTGTGACACCAATGCAAAATGTAATGATTTACCTCTCACCTGTACCCACAATGCAAAGCCTATCACCTGGCACAGAATAATCGTAACATCAATGTAAAATGTGATGATTTACCTCTTACCTGTACCCACAATGCAATGTATATCACCTGGCACAGAATAATTGTGACACCAATGCAAAATGTAATGATTTACCTCTCACCTGTACCCACAATGCAAAGCCTATCACCTGGCACAGAATAATCGTAACATCAATGTAAAATGTGATGATTTACCTCTTACCTGTACCCACAATGCAATGTATATCACCTGGCACAGAATAATTGTGACACCAATGCAAAATGTAATGATTTACCTCTCACCTGTACCCACAATGCAAAGCCTATCACCTGGCACAGAATAATCGTAACATCAATGTAAAATGTGATGACTCACCTTAGTACCCACAATGCAATGCCTATCACCTGGCACAAACATAGAACATAACACATAACCACTCTTCATAGTACGAATACATTGCTGGGTAGATCTGAAATAAAACATACAACAAATATGAAATGGGCAAAGGATGATACACTATAGTAAAGATGCCATTTGAATTTTATTTCTACTTTTAGTGATATTTATTCATTCTATGCATGTACAATATTCCTGATACTAAAATATTATTACAGCAAGTGACAAATCTGTTCTTCAGGCTTCTCAACATCATTGCAAATTGTATGTCAACCTGTATGTTACCAACTTTTATGGTATCAAATTTGGTAAATATTTACACAAAGACCTGTAGCCAACAAGACCCATTCAGTCGAAAATAAACAAATATGTGAAACTTTAGCACCAGAGTTTTGACTTTTAAAGGGTTGTTGAAATACAATAGGTATAAAAATCCATTGCATGTATCAAGGCTTTCTGCTGCTATGGTAACTTACAAAATTTTGCTGCATCGGTAATTCAGGTAAAAACTAGAAACACATGACAAATTTTCCCCAAAGATTCAGTTAGTGCGCCCTCGCTGCCAGATCCTGGTGCAACCTAGCCAAATGAGTTACTGCACTCGTAGACACTGATGTGAAGTAATGCACTGCCAAGCTACCATTCAGGTTGTCAATATTATTTGCATGTATGAATCTCATCAAAGAAGCCATGAAACCCTGATACACTAATCTGAACATTAGGTGGCGCTATACTAACTAATTCATTTTCACTGTGCCTACCTGTTCCATATTTTAACTGCTTCTCCTGATGCAGATAACAATGCTGTGTCATCTGAACTGAAACATACAGTTCTCACATCGCTACGGTGACCAGGCATGCCCAATGAACTTTTGTTCGATGGTTCAGGCTTCTTTTCTCCAATGGACAAACTGAACACTTCCAATGTGTTGTTTGCTAACAAGAGCAAAATTTTTATACTTTCTCCTTTTTCAAGAATAAAATCACATGATCTGAAATGAGAAAGAATAAAATCAAATTCAAATAATTAAAACCATATTAAGATGAAAAAAATATTAAAAAATTTACTGTATTAACTCATGAGGTCCTTAAACTCACCTGACTTTATGTGTTGCTCTCACTACAGCAAGTTTTCTAATTTCATCTTCCAATGATAGCTTCACATCATTCTCTGTATCTTCTGCTTCTCCTTTTGCTCTAAAAAATAATTTAAAATTATCATAAAAAATACATGTACAGTAGCGTATCATTTGAACCAACATGACTAATTACAATTTTTGGTTGACATTTTTGTCTATGATTTCACGTCCTTGAATCTATGCTGCTCCACTAATACCTTGATACAACCTCCCTCCCCCATGAATATGACAAGATATTACTAGCGTCACACCTAGGCATTTGTGGAATGCTGCACAGACTCTAAGGTAATGGATTGCAAAAAAATTATTTTCATTAAAATTCATGATTTAACTCTCTTACTTTTGTTTCTTTCTTGATTTCTTCTGTTTTTTCTTCAATCTTTTCGCTAATTCTTCCTCATTACACAAGACAAACACTTCTAATTGTGAGTCTGTGCCCTAGATATAGATAAAAACATGTCACACAAAAACTTCATCAAATGAAAATAAGGTACCAGTATTGTAGCATCATCAAACTTTGTGAGAATCCTATTTAATTTCATTGTCGTTTTACAGACGAATCAAAATAAAAAAATCCAGCATTACTGCTTTACATTACTGGGTATGTGCAGGGCCTAACTACAGGTTGTCTCATGCAACATCAGCAAAGACATGAAGACATGTTTCCGTTTCTGTCCTAAGTGTCATTCAATACATGTTCTGATGACTTGGCATCATGGTCATTTTTGTTCAATTTAAGTACATTTATGCAGGATTTCAGGAGTTGACCGGATGCACACAAGTTGCATAAACATATACATAATCTTTCTGGGAGCTCATTCCAACAAAGGAGTAACTTTGTCGGGAGTCAATATTTTGGAGTGTGCATTTCTGCTGTGATTATTTTAAAATCACAAAAACAAAATTTTTTTGTTCTCTTTGATACAACAAAGGCTGTAGGTTGAGATATGCAAATTTAAATTGGGTAGTACAGGAATCGTACAGCAAAAGTACTAGAGACTATTTTCAGTAGCGAAGCGAAGAAACAGACGGAGGAAGCTGGGACATTACCAAACTATGTTCAAGGCAAAACAAAATATTTTCATTGGGGGGGGGGTCCAAAGCAAATCAGGAAATTAAAAAAATGAATATTTAATGGTTCTACAAAAATCTATAGATACATCATCTGGTGATGAAGTAGAATTTTGCTGTTTTATTGTGTTTAATCTTTTATTTTCTGTACACAAAAGTTATAAATTACACTCATCAATGCCATTCACATCAGGATTTCAACACAAATGAAACTTACATGACATGTTAAAACTCTACCAGTACTATCCATCGCCATGGATACTACTCTTTCTCTACTCTGCCTCATAAGTGATCCTACTCGGCTACAGGACAATAAATTCTAGAAATTAAAACACAATAATTGAAATTAATGATCATAATATGAAATCACAACAATTTTCAAAGTTTTTAGTTTTTATTAAAACTTTCCAATCTCTACAAACAGTCGGCGTTGATGGTAAAATATTATTATAGTGGAATTTTTGATAGCGGACAGTTTTTATTTATCACAAAAACAAATTAATGACAACGACAACAAGAAAGACATATTCTTCCTCGTATACTATTCCCTTCATTAACATTATGGACAGGATGAAAAAGGGTAAACTTCATGGCCACTCTACTGAATGAACTAAGAATGTTTTGTGATGGAATACAACATGTAGTCTACTATGATGCAAATATGTATCAGGTATGATCAGACCATTAGTCCAATGTCCTGCTATAAAAAAGGAGTTACGTAACACACACATATGCAGTGACCACTAACATAAACATTCATGATTTTGCCCAATCTGATTAAAATAAGATCCTGGTTGGTTTCATTTTTTTAAATATTTTTTTTTATATAATTACTTATACAACTGTAATTATTATTTAATTTAATTAATTTTTGACGTTGCAATTATTTTTCTGCAAGAATTGTTTTGCTTGTGAAAGCAAATTTATTGTAAAAACAAATATTAAAAAAATAATAATTAAAATTATTATTAATAATACATTAAAATAAAATTTGAAAAATTAAGCCAATCAAAATCTTGTTTTAATCAGATTAGATATTGCCCCAAGGAACCATTTTTTTTTTCTAACCGGCATTGTACATGTATAAATGCAATTGTATGATAAAATAAACATAATAAACACTGCTACAATACTAATGTCTAATGCCTAATGATAGATTGTAAAACCATTATTTAAAATTTCAAGAAAAAAACAAGCAGCCTGTCAATTAAAGAACTGAAGATATCATTAGAAAATGAACAATATGTATAGTACATTGTATCAAAGCAATCAGACTTGCTGTTCTCAACAAGAATTCAAAAAACTATAATAACTTTTTACCAAAAATATTCATCAAAATTATATAATTATATAATCACGAAATGAACAAATCTGACAGAGGTCCACATGTAGTACCTATATATGTAATATCAAAACAATCAGACTTGCCGTTTTTAACAAGAAGTCGAAAATATCATTTTGTACCAAAAATGACAAAAATATTCACCAAAATTAGAGAATTAAATATATCATTACAAAATGAACAAATCTGAGAGTGGTCCACATGTAGTACCTATATATGTAATATCAAAACAATCAGACTTGCCGTTTTTAACGAGAAGTCGAAAATATCACTTTTTACCTAAAATGACAAAAATATTCACCAAAATTAGAGAATTAAAGATATCACCACAAAATGAACAAAATTAGAGAATTGAAGATATCATCATGAAATGAACAAATCTATAAGAGGCCTACCCAAGGTACATATACACCAAGTATAAAAGCATTCAGGCTTGTAGTTTTCAAAAAGAAGTCGAAAAAGTAAAACATTGACACGGACGACGACGACGGACAATCACTCATACGATAAGCTCTGCACGACAAAGTCGACAGCGAAGCTAAAAAAAAAGAGATGTAATCTCCTCACGAGCATGCGGGGAGACATCACATGTCTGACATATAATCATTTAGTGAAATTCAGATTTTAAATATGGCGAAATTGCTGACTTTTTCAATATACAGTGAAAGTGGGACTTGTAGGCCGATCAAAACTTACAGTTTCTTCTTCTTCCTCGTCTTCTCCAAATATGGAAGTAGACTCTTCAGTTTTCATTTTTTTGGCTGGTTGAGGACCAGGCTCATCACCATCCTCTTCAACCTGCAGAAATATTTCACAATTTTATCTTCTCTGCGATGAGAGCATGCGTACTGACCAAATCACAAAGAAATTACATTCTCCATAATTCTTCACAGCTTATGTCTCAGCATAGTATATGAATGAATTGTGTAATAAATTGTCTGTAATTTTGTTTAATTTGCTATGGCTTTTTCCCTTGAGCAAGATACACTCTAGTGTTCAGTTTATTTCTATCATGTGTTTTCCCCTATCTCCCCCCCCCCCCTTTAAGCATGGTAGTACTGCCATTATCTCAAAATTAATAAAGACGTCACAAGAATGATTGTCACCTGATCTTGATATGTGATATCCCAGACTCTGAGTTCACTGTCCATACAACCTGTTATCATCCGCTTCTCATCTGGTGTTAAACAAAACCCCCACACCTGCAATGAAATAAGATTACGTTTATGAAAGCTGCAACCACAATACATGTGAGCTTTGAGTCAGTACAATTTACAGACTGACCAATGAGATATGGCTTGCCCTAATTGAGATACGCTTATGAGCAATGAATTGTGCATAGCGCACCTGATGGCAACAAGATCATCCAGAGAACATATAAGATCAGTTGTGATGAGGGGCCACTTTAAAGGCTTTCATAAGAACAAAATTTGACAAAAGTTGCTGGGATTTGTTCATTGATGTGATGATTCTCACTAAAATATGATCATTTCTCTCTCACAAAATTGAAGTGGCTACAGTATATTTCAATATATATCGCAACAAAAATAACTACCGATGATACAATGTACTATAATATTCTAAATTCACAAAGAAACAAATACATGTCATAGTAATTGTATTGGTTATCTGCTTCTAATGATCAGTCTGTTCAATGAAATGATCACTTGTAATAGAATAAATATGGTACATGTATACAAGAAACTTACCTCAGTTCTGTGTCCCACCATGGTTTTAAAACAATGCTGTGTGTCTAAATCCCAAAACTTTATATAAGTGTCTTTAGAACTAAAGTAATAAATGGAACTCACATTATTGAAATGTCTTAGTCGTATTCATTTTTGGCTGAATCAAATTTCAAACCTATGCACAGTTGTATGGTCAAGTATTTGTAAAATGTGCTTTCAGTCAGTGAAACATAATATCAAATCTCTAGACTACATACAACTGTTATGATCTATCCATCTTAACATTCTAATCTCACAAATATTAGACAATAATTAATCAACTCTTTCAATATTTTGATTTGATTTTGCCATTTTGAATATTACATTTGTGTAATATCAGAGGTACATTACTTGGGGTTTGCAACGCTCATAGTACTGTATGGTGACATCATGCCAAGATCCCATTCAAGTCTCATCTCGTAGATAGCGAGACTGATGCTACGACCTTCTGACATGACATAGGTGGTTTGTAATAAAACAATAAAACATGTATTACCACATTCATAATGAAAAAATGTAATACATTAAAAATGTACAGAAAATATAGTTATCGTAATCCGTCATATCGTGATCAGCTATTTTGATCCACCTGGACATCCCTGTATCCTAGTTACCTTGGGCATGCGCATTCGCACTTTTCTGAATTGGAACGCTTATATGAGAGCAAGATTGAAACAGGATCTTGGTATCATGTCACCGTAGTTGCAAACCCCAAGTAATGTATCTCTGGTAATATACACCGGTACTATCTAGTGATGTGGAAGAATTTAAAGAATCAATAATCCTGAAAATAACTTTTCTTGAAATTAGGTTTTAGGTCTGGATAGAAACAGGTGAACTGACTGGTTTTATCAAGTATTTCAGTATGCCACAAGGCAATATGTGATAAATTGTGCAAAACATAAATTACATTTGAAGTTTAGAGATGCTGGTTTATATGATATGAATTCAAATATGAACAAATGATAGTGATGTAATGTCATCATAAATCCACTTCAGATTCCGATGAAATACAAAACATTGCAAAAAACTGCAGCTATTAAGATCACCTTGAAATAAGAAAATTCCTATTCGCCATAAATTGGCATTGTGTAACCATTCCTTTATGACCTTTCAATCGATACAGACCACTTTCATTGACGACATCCCAAACTATGACATCAGTATCCTGCAATGGAGAAATCAAAATAAATATAATGATAAATCTCCCAGATTAAAACTCAAGCAGAGTGTGAAATTAAAAGTATTCTGGGGGCATCCAATTTCATAGTCAAAAGTCCCAAAATTGAAATTGTCAATGAAATATTTGACTATAATGAAGAGTATCAATGCATTCGGATGAGGCATCAAGACAATTGCCTTCATGGCGTCAATGAATTAAAGTTCTGAAAAGAAATGAGTGATAGACACTCTCTGAGACTGATGACTCAAAATGTAAATTAGTCCAAAATATATTCAAATTAATTTCAATCAACAAAATTAATATGTCAGTCAAATTACCTTGGATCCTGAAACCAGTCTAGTGCCATGTGTGTCAAAATTGAGTGCAGATACAGCAGATTTATGCCCATTAAATGTGACAGTGGAGTCTCCAGTCATCAAATCAAATAACTTAATTGTACCGTCTTGATATCCAACTGCTATACTAGTCTTGTTTGGACTTTTAGCAATGCATGTCACTTCGTAGTTGTCTCCTTGTAATACCATTACCTGCAATAGATCATTTTGGTGGTTATTTCATTTGTTGTAACTGGTGATATATTAAATTTTATATTTCAATATCAAACATGTAAGCCAATTCGTGTAATTTGTTTGTCTATAAGCTTATTGCATTGTGGTTTTTTTTTGTTTTGCCAATCACACAGTCAAGTCTTTTTACAAAATTTTTAGAAATCTTGTATTTAAATTTAGAGAGCGTATATACATACATTGGTGAGCTTATGTAACTCTGATGTCTGTTGGAAGTCTGCCTTGTTCCAGCATTGGAATAATATTTTGTACTATTAATATTGTCATACGCACACTTGTTGGCAAACGTGACATTTTTTTTTCTTCATTCATTTCTATATACATATATTTTTTGTTTTATTTATTTATCATACTAGTTATATGGACTTTAAAATGTTTTACAGTCTGAAATAAAGATAATAATAATAATAATTGAGGGCTGAAAATACAAATAAACTAAATCAGTCCATGAAGGTATCCTCCCATAATCAGTCCAATTGATTATAACCGTTCCAGATTACTTATCCTTGCTGCACTAAAATTAGTGTAATGGAGCAATGACAAATATATAATTTAGTACTAACTACTTGTATGTACCGCCCTTGAGTGACAGAAGCTATCTCACCTTCTCTGACTTCCGGATGTCCCAAATAAACACATGCTCTACAGCTGGCACGGCAGCGAACTTTCCCTTCTCTTCTTCTGCTTCTAGGTACACCAGGTTTGACTTAGGACTACCGATAACGCCAAAACATGCGCTACCTACATATCGTAAATACTGCTTCGTTAAACCCATAGTTATAATTATCTTTCTAAATAATTACAACGTTTCATCATAAACTAAAATCGCGATTGTAAACGCACATGTGTGAGGTCAAGGGTTAAAGACTCCCTAGTCTAGACATGTTTCTTCCCACTAAAAAATGTCTTCAATTTTTTATCTTTAATTGTTTACCAACGCGTATGCTCTCATTTACGAAATAGTTAATGCAAGGATCTTTCTCAAATTGTTATTCTATTTTTTTACTAACGTTATGTCGAATCATTTAAGTTTTAAGAAAATGTGCATTCACTTAGGAGTTGATAATTGTCTGAGCAATATGGCGTCCAATGTGCTGATCGCACTGTCCATAGCTATAGGAATCTTTTTTGTTTTCACTGGTAGCTTGAAGGTCACGCCTGCACTTAATAAGCAGATACACGATGAACTCGTGAGTATTGTTGAATCGTGATAGAATTTTACGCACTTTCAATGGCGAATGTTATTCTGTCGTACATCGTTTTATGAAAAGCGCCCTCCCCGTCGACCCAAACAAAATTCTAATTTTAAAATTCCCACGTGAAATAGCAAGGTTGATTTTACTAGTAGATTGCATTTCATTCGCTCATTATATATGTGTTGACAGTCATTTTTTAAGCAATATAGCATCCTAGATTCAAAACTGCAAAACACAGCAAAGAATCCAGCGCAGGACTAGAATAAACAGCATACATACAGCATGTAGTATTCAACTACTGTTTTAACAGTTTTTTGACGGAAACATCAAATTATCCTGACATGTAGGCGTGAGTAGCGCCCTCTCAGACCGTATGGCATCAGACCTCACTAACGCCTGACAGAATAGTGTATGTCTCACCGGCAGGATCAATACTGACCCAATACTGCAAATTCGCAAAGTTCACGCCTTTTTCAATGAGTTCAATGAATTTTCATTTTTGTGGTCATGGTAACACCGTCAATCAAAGCCGTGTTTGCATCATCGGCAAAAATCACAGACCGTTTTCAACAAAATGATAAACATTAGGCGGAAATTTGAAATATTGAATTAGTATTTTTAGAAATGCAAATGCTTGCTTTTTCACATTTTTGCGCGACTTCTTAAATTCATGCATAATCTTAGTCACATAACACAATTTGTTGCATCCTAATCTTATAATTCTTTGCGATATTTATCTACCATCATTATTTATTAATAATGAAGCCCGACATTTATTTGGTAGTCCTATGATGCATCTCTTTTATATTTCATAGAGGAATTAGCTTGATGAGATGCATCATGGGAGTACCACCATTTTGAGATGCATCATGAGAGTACTGCTATGTTGAGGTGCATTATTTTCAGATGCACCATGGGAGTATAACCATGTTGAAATGTATCATGGGAGTGCCACCATGTTAACATGCATCATGGGAGTACAACCATGTTGAGATGCATCATGAGAGAATCACCATGTTAAAGTGCATCATGGGAGTACCACATGTCTAGAGGCACCATGGGAGTAATGTCTTGTTGTAGAACTAATTCATTAATTAACTAGTTTTTAACCAATTTGTGTAATCACTAACATACATGAACTGACGTTACATGAAACTTTTCTTTCTCAAAGTAATAATTCCATGAATATTTTGATCATGGATAATCATTTAATTATCACCCTTTAAAGCTAGGGAGTCATCACTTGCACATTCGGCTGAAAGTGTCTGTGTTTACAAACAAGCATCTACCCATGAGCCTTCACATTTTCAGTGCACGTTGTTATTGTTGTTCAGCACTCCCGCTCATGCTAATTATATAATTCATTATGATCCACTCATTTTTTTTTCTTGCAGAGAAAAGATTTTGGTAAATATGCCAGAGATTTCCCGTTGAGACAGTACACTGGATGGAAACCCAAGTCTAAACTTTACATGAAGACTATTGGATGGTTTGAAGTGATATGTGGTGCAGTACTGGTATTTTTACCAAGCTCTAAACTTAAAAACCTTGCAAACTTGATACTACTAGGAATAATTACAGGTGAGACAACATCCTTGATATTTTAGATGATTTATTAATGAATTATTAGTTATGGAAATTATTAATATATATATACATAATAATATCTGCCAAGTACTATTTGGTTAACTTTTGGTTGAAAAATGATGCTATTATTCGCTTTTAAACATGTCAGTTTATCATATTATTATTATACATCTGTCACCGTAACGCCATACGTTACAGCGTGCCGTAATTTTGCGGTATTTTACGGGGTATTTTCATCCTACCATATTAGGAAATGCTATTTCCAAATATTGAATGATTACACGCGTAAGCGTCTTCTAATAATAAAAACAAACATGGCTGCCACAAGGGTTTGACCGGACTCCATACAAGGAAGTTCGCTGATTTCGGCATTCCCATAATGTATCCTTGGTAGAAAAAGAAGTATAATAATAAGGTTATTACGAAGATACCTCAAAGTATGCACTCAGACAGTATGCTGTCGCATCGACCTCTGCTGCGCGTCGGTCGATACTGCCGCTGTACTGTCTTCGTGCATACTTTGAGGTATTTTCGTAATAACCTTATAATATTGTCAGTACCTTGGTTCTGTATTGTATGTATGAATTAATTTAACAATGCTAGTCTATGTTAGTTTTGTTCTTCTCAAAATTATTTGGTGGGTTTCTTTATTGCTAATTTATTCATTTGTCGCAGCTTGATTAAACCACAGTGAATATGTAAAGTTTAAGGCTGGATCTATTGTTTTTACCACTAACCAGTTAATTTAAAAAATAGTGAATATGCCTGCAACATCAAATACACTAACATTATTGTTTTACATGATCTGATTTACTACAGGTGCAATCTACACCCACCATATTATAGGAGATCCTATCGCAAAGTCCACTGGTGCCATTATTTTCTGGCTATTACTGGTCACTAGGTTTATAATTGCTGTTAAATTCCAACCCAAGGAACGAAAGTTAAAGTCACGATAGAGTGCCATGATGTTACACAATGTAATAGCTGGCAATAAAAAATGGGTTAAATCATAGTAAAGGTCAAATCATTAGTGAAAGTTCAAGTGTCAAATCATAGTGAATGACATTTTTAGAGTCAAATTATTAGTGAAATGTTAAGTGTCAAATCATAGTAAATGAAATTCCCAGGGTCAAATCATAGTGAAGGATCTGATCAGAGAGGTTTTATCTGAGTAAGATAATTGTGTAAATTTGTAATTGTTGTTGGTCGACCATTAAAATTTAGTTTAAAACTATAATTGAAGGAAAAGCAAAATTTAATAGGTCTTCTCCAAATCTGAAGTTTTCAATTGTCATCTCCTTGCCACTATGAATAGAATGAATATTCACAGTGTTCTGTTTGTAAATAATTTTATATTAATTAAAAGATAATTTTAAAGTTCGTTGATTGCAATGTGAAATTTAAATAACTCTTTTTCAGTATGAATTATATGCACCTTTTGTATGTTCGAGTTCCCTCACTCCCCCTCCCCCTCCTCCTCCTCCCTACTTCACTCACTGGCAATTCTATAGCCATATCAGCAATTTATAAACAAAGTCAAAATCCAATTTCTAGTACGTCATTTCAAAATCACCTTTTAATCATGTCATTGTGGCAATATATTTACCGGTATCCCTTATCAATACACAAAATAAATACATATAAAAATTTCCACATTTTTAAAAACTTTGAATCTTATTCTAGTAATATATTTCATTTGGTCTAAAAAAGAAATTATAGAAAAATGCAATAATGTTGAAAATATTGATGAGTCAAATTATGGAATTTGAATAATTGTGTGCAATCCTTCTGCAATCTTACATATTGACATGTTTGGGAACATAGTTTGTTTCGGCTTTCTAAAAACTTCTACAGATGTCAGCTACTGTGAAGACTAATTTGCATACTGTGAATCATGGCAATATTCTCTAATACAATGTACTTGTCAGTCAGATGTTTCAGATTTTAGTTGGATGGGGGGCAATTTATTAATATATCCTCCATCATAAAAAATGAGAAATCTCAAATTACTCTGATTAGAAATGTTTTTCATGTATACAGTGCAACTATGCAATGTTTTTAATTACAGTTTGAATGATTACATTTTATATACATTAAGAGATAGAATTGTACTTTCATGATTGGGTGAAAAATGTTTTATTGTCGATTTTTAAATAAACAATTTGCCATTCACATTAGATATGCTTGATCGAATTACTTTCACATGCACACTAGCTTACATGAAATATACCTAGCAATCTCACAAATATTTGGTAGATATTTAGAAGAATTTTTGATTAACTATGTCGAACTGAATGCAAAACAGAGTAGAAACTTTCTAAAATCGCACACATTCGTTTTTAATCAACTGAATAAGTTCTTTTTAGCATACAAACCAAAAATTACATTAATTGTATGCTTTTTCGTAAACATATTGGTTATTTAGACAATGGACACATGCCACTCACTTAAAAGGCATTAGTCACTGTGCCACAAGATATATGGGTCTCATATAAACAAATATGGCCGCTTTGACTGTTGAGCAGATCAACGAGTACACTGAGACATTACCAAGCTTTAATTATGTGTTTTCTATGGGATTGGAAGGTATCAAAGGAGTCACCGGCGGTAATTAGTGTGAGTCGCACCCAGGTCAAACCTCATACTTGTGATTTACATTTGAAGAGTGCATTGGATTGTGGGAAAATCAATGTTTATCAACACAAATGTCGCACATGAGCAGTGCGACGACTACTGCCCTTTAAGCAGAGTTTGCTACTAATTGAGCAAATTTCATAGTAACGCATTGAATCATAAATGGACAAAGAACAGATACTATAGAAATTATCAAACATTTGATTGATGGTTCATAACAACAGCGATACGACCAGTATCTCACTACAAAGCATATATTGTATTCATCATCTTGTGGGATAGTCTTGTGAATAAGTGGTTGGTATGACAACATACTCTGTGTCCCATGATTTTTTTCTTCTTTTCTTCTGTTGTTCTAAATAGTGACCTCTAACACTAGTTCTGATTTGTTGCTGGTTTTGCAAGACTAGAACATGATTTGCATATAGATACTGTAAAATACTTCGCTATTTTCGCTAAACGATCATACTGCGCATTATGAAAAGGTTTAATAATTTTATTGACCAAAAGCAACCTGTTATTTCAGTTTGAATTTGTGAAACTCACATAACTTTTGTAATCAAAGAAAGCTTAGAAAGAACTCCCGTGTGCTGAGAGTATTTGGAGACGCATTAAAATTAATTCAAAATTTAAGATTTGCCTCTCAACCGAGAAACTTGGCAACTAATATTTGTCTGCTATTTGAGATGTGCAACATGAAAACGGTTCTTGAGATATCTGTGGAACAGACAGACACAGGGAGTAAAAAATGAAGAGATTTGTATGCTTGTGTCTAACAAGAACAAGTTTTATTTACAGACTTTTGAATACACTAACTAAAAATACAATATGTACAAATTAGAAATAAACAAAACACATTTAATCCAATAAATCCATTAAATGTAATTGCTTACTTATTCTGTTCCCTGTAACAGGATTTAAATTTCTGAGGTGACAAGAATTTATTATATCATTTTTCATATATGATATTGTAATTGCATTCATAATTATTTATAAATTGTACACACGATTGTAAACAATTTGCCACCAAGATGGTTGAAAACTAGACTCATTTAAATAAATTAAAATAATTAAATAAAATGTGCAAAGTTTCCACAATATATTGCAAAAAAAACATATTTTCTTTATATAATACCCCTAAATCTATTTAAAGCATATTTGTTTCAGTATTTATTGATATATTTGTATAGCAGGTTCATTTTTGAAAAAATTCATGCAATGGAAAACAAAACTTGTTTAAATGAAAAAGGGGATATTGAAAATGTATACATTTCAATAATATATTTAGATGGTGCACTACATAATACAAAAATGTACTTATGAAAAGTTGCATATCTAGAGAATGAAAAGTGATATAAACAAGCAGCCTGTCGGCTTACATAGCTCCGCTGTTAGCAATGCACATTTCAATTAAAGAACTGAAGATATCATTAGAAAATGAACAATATGTATAGTATCAAAGCAATCGGACTTACAGTTTTTAACAAGAAGTCGAAAATATCACTTTCTATCAAAAATGACCAAAATATTCACCAAAATTAGAGAATTGAAGATATCATCATAAAATGAACAAATCTGAGAGAGGTCCACATGTAGTACCTATATGTATACCGGTAATATCAAAGCAATTGGACTTGTGGTTATTAACAAGAAGTCGAAAATATAACTTTTTACCAAAAATGACAAAAATATTCACCAAAAATAGAGAATTAGAGATTTTGACATGAAATGAACAAATCTGAGAAAGAACCATCCAAGGTACCTGTACTTGCATATCAAATTTGAAAACATTCTGACTTGCGGTTTCGAAGAAGAAGTTGAAAATGTAAAGTTGACGACAACGGACAATCAGTAATATGAACAGCTTCGCTGTGTCGACTTTGTCGACAGAGAAGCTAAAAAACTGTAAATTGCATTCTCCTATATTTGTGGAGCTCTTTCATCTGGAGCATAATACTGTTTGCATTGACTTCCCATTTAATATCTACTTGTAGTACTATATTTCACAATAATGACCTTAATATGTTGTCTTGTGAGCATATTTGACTGTATGATAAAGGTGTTAACACCATCTACACCAATATGTCACCTGAATAAATTCTACAACAAGGTAAGTCGTTGTAATGAGTGTGATCTATATCCGAAGTATTGCATTCATTAACATTTCCACACCATTACCAGCATCAATCAATGCTGATTGACCCACCACTGGCGATGAAGAATGACAGCATTGGATGTGAAAACCACTACATCCATCCACAACCTGATTCTAAAGTGACCCACTGTCTAAGACAATGTGTATCATCATGGCACTGTCACTGCGTCTTTAACTTGTATTCCTTGTATTGGGATTTAACAGCAATTATAAACCTAGTGAACAGTAATAGCCAGAAAATAATGGCACCAGTGGACTTTGCGATAGGGTCTCCTATAATATGGTGGGTGTATATTGCACCTGTAGGAAAAAAAATAAAAGTCAGATTCTGTAAAACAAAAAAATATTCAGTGAGTGTAATTTTAGATTTGACGGATTCATAAAGTTTTAAAATCACTAGTTTGTAAAGAAAAACAAAATTATTATATTTTACATATTCATTGTCTTTTAATTATGTTGCTATTTATATAGTTGACGTCAACAGACACTGGTAATTTGTATTAATTTAAGCTGCAAGAGTGACTAATAATAATTCTGAAAATAAACACATGCATCCTTTGCCAAAATCAACCATTGTTAGTACAACTCGTAGACCATAAACTTGAAAACTCAATGAAAAAAGGTTGGCAGTATGTGATTTAACACTACAGTGATTTGATTTGATCTGTCCTGTGGTGATACACATGTAATAATCAAAATATAATTTTGTACTGAAAATGACAAATGTATTTATCAAAAAAATGAAAATAATAATATTGTCACGAAATGAATAAATCTGAAAAAGGTACATGTACACCCAAGTATCACAACAATCAGCCTGGTAGTTTTCTAGAAGGTGAAGTTTTTTACAAAAAAAAATGACATAACTATCCACTATAAATAAAGTATTGATGATTTTGTCACAAAATGAACAAATTTCACAAGGGTATATCAAGTATTAAAGCAATGAACCGGGTAGTTTTCAGGAAAAAATATATTATTTCTTACCAAAAAACATCACTAAAAACAAAGATTTAATGATGTTGTCATGAAAATTTACAAATCTGACTGAGGTATCCCATGGTACCCAAGTGTCATTTATGAAAGTATTTGAGTTGGTGGTTTTCAAGAAGAAGTCAAAAATATAATTTTAAACTAACTATATGGCAAAATTATTACAAAAAATAAAGAATTATTGGTATCATTTATCAAATCAGTTAGGTTGATAACTCTCAAGTAGAAGTAGAACATGTTATTGTTGATTGGCGGATGGCGAATGAACAACAGGCACTTACTCTACTCTGTCATCTTCAGTGATGGTAGAGCTAAAATTATAAATTATGATTGTAAAACAAATACATTTATTAAGAGATCCCAAATACTGACAATGTCAATATGATCACCTGACATTTCAGAAATCAATTGCATCACTTTTTAACCAAAAATGAACAAAACAGTATTAATTCGCAAATATTTCTTTGAAATATGTATTCACGTATTGCAGGTCTTTGATATATTTTCATATTTTCCATAAACTACTAATCAACGGCCAACATCTAAAAGATGAAGATGTTATTTCTCCTGTAATTATTCCTAGTAGTATCAAGTTTGCAAGGTTTTTAGGTTTAGAGCTTGGTAAAAATACCAGTACTGCACCACATATCACTTCAAACCATCCTATAGTCTTCATGTAAAGTTTAGACTTGGGTTTCCATCCAGTGTAAAGTTTCCATCTTGTGTACTGCTTTAACAGGAAATCTTTGGCATATTCACCAAAATTTTCACTCTGCAAAAAAAAAAATGGGTATAGTTTTGAGGTCATATTAGCAACTG